ATGATGCCAAATGTGTAATGAGTGGGTGAGGGATGAGAAGCAGGCTTAGTCACTGAGAAATCTAAAGTATTATAGAGCTTTTCTACAGAAACAAAATGGACCTACATACTCACCAAAAGGTACAAACCTGCTCCCTGGAATTCTTGTCCAGGCACGCCAGGGCACTATTTCCTACTGGATCCCAGCACTGATGTGAGCTGAGCAATGCTGAGGGAGCTGCAGAGGGCCATGGTGTCAGGGCGGTGGAAGAGTGTCCAATGCACAGTGTCATAGAGGCATGATGTTTCTGAAGGGCAGTCATGCAGGTGCTGAGGAGGGCTCAGCCTGGTGACGAAACTATGTGTATTTCTCAAAAAACCTACAAGGCAGTCCCCAGCTAATTCTGCTCTCTGGGAATATTTGAGGAGCTGCATCGAACTACATGGCCAAGTGGAAAACTCTAGTTCTTCATTCCTCCTCCAGCCCAGGCTCATAAATCCTCCCCTGCCGTGGGAGGAAAGGCCACAACATCAGCATGCTACTGCCTCTGGAGCAGCCTTCACACTGTGTCTTCTCATCCTAATTCCCAAACACATGATTGATTTTCCTGTGTTCCTATGCTCCCCCAATCACTCCGGCAGGACAAAAAGTCATCATTGCTAAATTCTAGAAGGGCTTGAAAGGTCTGACTGGTACTACAAAAAGTGATGCTTTTGATGGACAGAAGTCTGCTTTGAATTCAATAAAAACAGAATTTTTCCAAGGTAAACAGGACTCTTATCTGCAGCTGGTGATATAGCTCAAGAACGATATCTTCTATATTTGAGTTTTTTCCATGTAAATGCTAAAAATGCATTATGATGAACATGTTCTGTTTGCAAAAAAATGCTTTTGATTAAGAACTTGCTTTTCCACAGCTCTAAGGGCATGACAGATGACCAACCACAATATGTAAGCGGGACAATCTCGGGAGAAATCATCACAGCAGAGGTTCTGCCATTGTCCAACTTCTCCACTACTCACAGCTTCCTACTCGAAAGTACTTCTCTGTTCCATTGTTTTTCTTAGCAGCTCCTCAAGCTTCCATGACGTAAAATAATCTGCCAGGTGCCAATTAGCCATTTCAGAGACATAAGAAGAAAAGAACTTTTTCCATCCCTTCAGACCAGTTGCCTTTATAGCTCTGATTTCTGTGGTGATCGAAGTGGACTTGGTGCTTCAGAGCAAAGTAAACACATACGTTTGGGAAGGCTTCTAAACTACTTGGCACGAAATCACCTTGTGCCACACAGAGAATATTTTTTCAAATTTACAGACTTCTCACGTGTGTGAAGCATTGGCTTTCACATGCCTCTTTGAGATACGGTTGGTGGTGTGGTGGTATGTGTGACCTCAGACATCTGGACTAGCTGTCAGCCAGAACCTTTAGAGTTTGTAGCACCATACTGAGCACTTTCACATCAGATGGAGAGGAAAATATTCCCAGATATTGGCTTTCTCCCAAAACCAGTACTTCCCTTGGATCACACCTCATGCGAAGCTCAGCATGAACTGAAGAGAAAGATGGGTTATTGGCATATTTTGCACAGACTGTGTGTTGGCTTTGTTGTAACTGATGACAGCTCCAGCCTGGAGGAGGCACGACTGCATGTTGCTTTGTGCATATATACACTATTTTGCCTGCTGTTTCAATTTGATTTTGTATTTTCTCATTGAAGAAGGTAAGACAAATAAAAACCATCTGACTTCTATATAAAAAATTATATACCAGTTGCAGGTAGTCCTGCAAAAAATAAATGTGTGCTCATAGAGCAAAAAAGAAATGGGTTTTTCATATATAGTAGCAAATCAGATTACTGTTTGAAGGTAAAATCTATTTAATCCCTCTTCCATCCACAGTTGCTGCAAAAATAAGCCACAAATTGGTGCTAACACTGAACAATATCACTGAAACTACTGTACAAATTGTCCTCATAAGAAATTTGCACTTAGATCCTGTAGGCTTTTGAAGGAATTGCTGCAGAATTGAGACAGGGCTATCATCTGTCAAGTAATTCTCTGTGATAAAATTGTCAGATACCTTCTGACTTTATTCAAGCAGATAGCAACATCCCATGTTAGGCAGCTTGCTAGTAAACCCTCTTATGGTGCTGCTGAGCAGCCACAGAAGATCCCAGTGAGAAGCAATGTGAAAGTTAAGTAAGGTGTCAAGCAGAAACCTAGTATGTGGATGTGATCAACTCATGAAACTCGTGGTACCTGGCTCATCGCTGTGCTGTAGCAGGGAGAGAGTGGAATTTCCCTGAGTGGAGGTCAGTTGTGGCAGGCTGAGTGCAGTACCCACCTTGCTACATTGAAGAGCCGATGGGAACCTGAGTTAGAGCAACTGCTGAGTTGCTAGTCACAAGTCTCTCCTGATCTTAAACAGTGCTGTAAGTTTCAAATATGTTTTATGCATCCTGATGAAATTTGTAAGTGTTGTCAGTCTTTAAGATTACCAAAAGTCAGGGTCCTTAGCAGCTAAGATTAGCCCTGTAACTCAACAGATACAAATTGTCATTGCTGGTAACAACATATCAGAAGCTTCACTCTAACGTTGTGAGACCTCTGGACTTGTCAGACTTTGACTAGCTTTGTCCTGGGCTGTCTACAGCTTTGCTATAGCTTATTTTAGCTGCTATCAGCAGTTTCCTAGTGACCAGGTGGCTATTGTCTAATCTGTTTTACTTTTGCTTAAATTTGTATAATCATCCGGTATAACCATAATTTTTATACAGATAGCATTTAACAAGCTGTTATTTTTATGTAGAACTAAATATTTCTTACCATAGCAAAATTATATGGTATAAAGGAACAGTACCGTAGCATAAGCCTTTTCTGAGAGAGGCAGAGAATGCTGTGTGGAGAAACACAGGCATGGAAGTAACCTGCTGTAAACAGATCATCAGTGGTTAATCACTGGTAGTGAAAGCAATGCAGTCCTGAGAACAGAGTACATTGGTTTTAGGGTTAAAAAAGAGAACATGGAAGAAGTACTCAGCATATATAAAATCTCATGTATATGAAATCTGACATTTCCAATGGAAAAAAGAAAAGTAGTAGTGTGATAGAACATGGATAGCAATAGCCCCATGTGATGACAAAGAGAAAGAAACTCCCACCATCAGCATCATACTCTACTTGGCATGGGGCCTGGGACGCTGATGACCTGTGACACTGAAGCACAGAACATTTGCATGCAGGGAAAGAGTGGAAGGGGGAGCACAGCAGTGGAAAAGGGGGCAGCCATTAGGAAAGGAGGTTAAAACAATTTAAACTGTGTCATTATTGAAATCCCCTTTATATATATACTATTCTCTAATTTTTTAATGTAATAATTAGATCAAGATGAATAACAATTCTCTGATTAGATAGTTAAGATTTTAATTACACAAAAAATAAATCATCTGCTTTGTTCAAAAGTTGTGTATCTTTCTGCCTATAGCAAGATTTTGAGTGTACCAATGACTATATTCAGTGCAGGATTGCAGTTGTTATGCAGTTGTTAGTAAGTGAGAGATTAGATCACAAGCCAAAGAAGAACTGTGGGTGGGATTTACACACACAAAGTTGAAAATGTAGGTGTGTTAAAAAAGAAATGTGATTATAAATGGGACTTCAAGGAACAAAAGTTTTTGAAGTACAATGTCTTGATGAAGCTTAAAAATGGAAAAAGAGCCTTTGTCCAACAGCAAGACTTTCAGGACATAGCTCTGAAAAACTGTCTTGTGCCCCATAAGGCTGAGAGCAGCATTGCTCAGTGCAGAATGATTTAGTAATGGAGGGCAATGAAAATTAAATTAAGAAAGAGAGGAACATGGAGGATGAGTGTGATAAAATTACCTTGATTGTGCTGCTTACTTCCTGCTTAGGGGCTATACAGTAGTTCATGCAGATAAATGCATCAGAATATACAGAAGCATCTACTCCCAACACAGTCAGAGGCCCCTAATCAACGCCCCTAGCATCACTAGCTCTAGGATTGCTCTAAGACATGATATTAGAAAGGAATCTTTCCCATCTCAGGTGAGTGTTGTGACTCCAGACTATTTCTTATTCTTGAATATCTCTTCTACTTTTCCATAATTCTTTTGTTTGTTTGTTTTTGTATTTGTCTATGACTTATTGGCTCAGTTTCATTCAGCATCAGAAAAAAACCAGATTTCAAGATTTCAAAACTTTTTTTTTCCATCCTTGCTGAAATCCAATGCCAACTTCAATTTTCTGCCACACTTGACTAATTCACAGTAAGGAACAGAAGAAAAAATGTGATATTATGATGGGAGGAGTAGGATATGATGAAAGAGTTTTAATTTCTTAGTCCAGAGCATCCACATCAGAAGCACTTTGGCTCTGAGGCCATTATTAGCAGCTCTTCTTCCCACCACAGTTTGCTCTCGAGCAGGGAACCCTCCCTCGAGAACCAGAAGCACAGGTTTCTGCCATTTGGTCTGATGACATGGCATAATTAGTTGGCACATATGAAAAAATCATTGTTCAGATGGTGAGTTGCTCTAGCAGCTAACTATACATAGAGAGATGATATGTGCTCTGATGAAAGAGATGAAAGGCTCTGTGCTATTGACATATACATACTAGCATAATTTGGTTGTTGTCAGAAGAGATAATGTCAATGACAATACCAAATGTTTTTGTCATGTTCTTTAGTATAGGTTTCACAACTGTTTCTTTGTTGGTAGTGTCACTTAACAGGAAGAAGAATACATGGGAGAATGACAACAACAGTCATCTTCAGCAAGAACAAATGGCTTTAAAAATGTTCTTCAGGCAGTGTGCATTCAGAGGAATTGTTCTGTAATGCAAACAATTTGCTTGCAAGCACGCTGCGATGATGACTTACTGTGAAGAATAGCTTTGTTGCATGCTCTTCTTTGGCAGTGTGAGAAGGATCTATGAGGTCATGGATAGTTACCATTGACCCCAATGGGTGTCCATTACTAGCAATTCCAGTTGCACCCATGTGCACTGTGCACAGTCCTGTAATGTAACACATACCATAAAATATCTGATTTGCTTTTTACAATTCTTTTATTTTGTGTGGCAGCAGATGTCCAAGGTTTAAAATAAGTGCACTGTGAAAACAGAAAACGAAAACAGCTTGGATGACTTCATAAGAGATTACGTGATGAAGTGTCTTTATTTCCTTTCATGCCAATGTATGTAAGTACTTTAAGTATATTTCATGAAGGGTAAATATTAGCATATTACTGCCCAGTAGGGACATTTATCGCCAGTAACAAGTCTTTACATGCCTAGAACCAAAGCATATAGAGACAATTATGGTTGGTTAGATAGCTACTGCTGTACAGAACCTAAAAAAATTTACAAGTTGTCTTGGAGACAAATGCCATAAATGTACTAAAACAAGAGTGAAAATAAGAGGAAAGTTTTGAAATTCTGAAAATTCTGTGGGATGATACTAAAACCTGCTGAGAATCCACAAGGTGGTTTCCCCATGCACAGAGGCCATTATTTCAGTTCCCCAGTGTAGTGGAATTCTGGGTTTAGCACCCTTAGGCACACCTGCATGGGTGAGCACACAGTCCCAGCACAGTTTGTACAGGATAATACCATCCTGGATGTTTGGAAAGCATCTTTGCATGGTGCCAGGTCCAGCTTACAAAACCATAACTTGACTTTTCAGCAGGGTGTGTTAGCTTGGGTACAGCACAGCACTTCAAGACCAACTCTGAGCATGGGCAAAGTGAACTCAAATCTCTCTGCATGTACTCATTTAGACATATCCTCATAGTTCTCAAACATATTGTTGCGGTGGTTGCCAAATTCCCAGTGGCGACAGTTTTGACAGTCACAGTCAAAATATAACTGTGTAATAATAAGTTTTCATGTAGCAGTTGCTCATAAAGTCCTTGGGGACTACATATAGATACCAAGAGACATTCTGATGTGCTGTTTTAAGATTGGCATGACTTTTGTAAAAAAATTCTGTGTGTTAATCAATAAAGTCATGTTACACAGTTCTGCAAGTCCACTACAAGATGAGAATTACATTTTCTTGTGTTCAGTTTCTTTCTTGTGAAAGATTAGAAAACTAATTTCCAAGATCCTCCAAGCAGAGACCACATAAATAAACTTAAAGATTTGTGTCTTAGAATGGTTAAGAAGATTGGTCAAGACGGATTGGTGTTTCCCCACCATGAAACTCACCACTGCCAGAAAGAAAGGTAAAATCAATGGAAAATAAGAAAAGTTATTTAAGTGAAAATCTTATATTATTTTTTACTCTTTTTTTTTAAAGTGGATTAAAAAATGGTTGCTACAATAAAAATAAGATGTTATATGTGCATAGCTGTGGATTCTAGTGAATGTTTTACATGTCATAATTCTCATCCTAATTTGGACCTGAGAGTCTGCCCTTATCAATACAAGCCATGATCTGTGCAATTAACTGAAAACATTTTGTTAACCTGATCCTTCCTTCTGCTTCCTCAGTTGCTGCATATTCCTTCATCTTCATCAGGAGTTATTTGTTTGTCTCATCTACCTTTTGAAGAATAAGATGTCTTAGACTGATTTTTGACTATTTTAATCTCATTGGTTAGCTCTCATTCAAGAGCTTTTTGGATGAAGAAACAGTCACTGTGCTCTTTTTTATTCGTGGTAAGTCTGCTTCTACAGGAGATTTCCCAATAAACTTATCAGACTGTTGCTGCCTTCCCCTCTGTTCATGTCATCCTAAGATGATACAGGTCTGCACTGCCTCTGGAGGGGCAGCCACTTTATACAAGGGAACCATCTTTTCTAGTGCTGAAAAGGAACAAATCATTTCACATTTTTACATCAAATGAGTGAGGAAATTGGATAAACCATGATGACTATCACTTCTTTCTTAAATCATCTTGCTTCTTGGGGGATGTAAGTCAATGTAATGAAGCACCCTAGTACACTTCTACAAAGTTACTCATAGAGTTACTCATACAGTTACTCCGACAAATAATGATGGGACTGGGCAAATTGTTCACACCTGAAAATTGCTCTTTTGCTTCGTATTTTTCTTTTGGACCACCTCAACCAGCTGCCTAAAAATCAATTCTCAGGCACAAGTAGGCAAGTACTCCAGTGCAAGGAGCAGTTCCAGAAACCAATATTGATAAGCCTGTATGAGGTCTGGCTCACTCCATCCTGCACAGTCCTAGGGATCCCAGAAGGCTCTTCATTCTCACAAACACCCATATATTTCCACCTCAGTCTGGTAACAAAGGTCTTAATTTCTTATTGATGGTTTGCAACATGGCACATTATTTCTGAACCAAGAACTGAGGAAAAAATACACTCAGTAATAAGTATATTCCAGATCCTGGACCAGTTTCTGTGACACTCATGACAATGTTGCATTCCAATTACTGTGATATAACTCTTATCTGAGGATCTATTGGTATGCAGCATCAATGTACGTGACCTGGTCGAGGACAGGCTAGCCTCAAATCATGTAGAGGACCCCTCCTCTCCACCACTTGACCACAGATTGATGAACCATTCACTCGAGTGAATGCGTTGAACAGAACAGATGTGACCCTTGTGAGGTTTGCAAGCAGGGACTCAGGACCATCTTTTGATGTCCTTCTCTACTGCTATTGAATTCATAAAGGAGGTTGAGACCAACTCTTTGCCTAAAGCAGGGAGCTATTACTCCTATTTGGAGCTCTAAATCTGTCTCACTGCTGACAAGAATGATATGCTCACATCACCTCTAAACCCAGCACTCACACAATTAATCTTTCTTATATTACAGCTGGCTCATTCAGTGAAACATTTGTTTTGTTTCTGGGGATGGTAAGATTGTTATTTTGAACATAATTTCCTGATACGGAAGGAGGAAAATATGTTAGAAAAACTACAGAAAGGTAGGAAAACTGGTAGAGAAAAACATGTAGCAAACACTGAAGGATTTAGTGTAGTAGATAGCAGCATTTCTGGAGACTAAGGTTGTCTTCTTTTTAATAAAAATTCTGAGCCCATTCAGTGGTAGTTTTTGGCTTTTTCTCATCTAGACTGCGTCAAGTTATTTTTAATTGTGTAATTCTCCAGCAGCTTGCAAATGTAAAACTTTCATTTTCTATTAAGAAGTTCTTTTCAGTTGAACTTCTATGATAGAAAATGATATTTCCATGTGAGCCAGCCACTAGAGTCTGAGGGAAGCAATATCTGGGTTAACAGACTGTTTTAAACACATTCTCTCAGGACCTTTCTGTTCCCCTTCAGCATTTTCAGCCTGTCTGCCTCTTGCCTGCATATTTCTTCAGTATTCTGGCCAATTGTGACCTACTTGAAAAGATAGACTGTATGGCTTTTCATATCAAGTCAAGATCTAAAATAATCTAACAATACCAGAAATATGTTGGAGAATAGTACACATTGCACAGAACAAATAATAAGCATACTAGCAAACAACTAACTTTTATCTCATTAGTTGTCCTTGAGTTAGCTGTAGTGCTTTGATCTTATTTGCAACAGCAATAGCAAAAATAATGAGAAATCTTTACTCTTTTAAGTGCAGTAGCACTTGCTCACATCTATCGGCCTCAAAGTTACATGACTAGTGTGTACATGAGTTGGACTTCCTCTATGCAATCTGTGTATGCCATAAAGCTCAAGGACAATTTTCACAGTTGAAAAAGAATAAAACTTTATATACACACTACATAAGAAACTTTTCATGGGTTGTTCTCCATGCTGAAACCTCCAGACTTCCATTTGCAAACTTGCAAGCTTACTTTATAAAACACCCAGGGAGGGCCTGAGTCAGTGCTGTGCACTGCCTTTGGTATCAGTAGCCTCTAATATTCCTCCCAGTAGGAATGCTTGAGTTCACTGCCAACAGCTTGGAGGTAGGCTGATGGTATGCAAACTAAAGGAGTGCAGAAAGAACAGCATTAGCAGGTCCAGTGAAAAACAAATCCATGTTACAACACCCTCAGGGCTTTGAAATAGCACTTGTGACAACATTGCATTGTATTCTCACGTACTATGATCTAACTCTTATCTGAAGAACAGGAGTTTTGGATTCCACAGAGACAGAATGTAGTGTTTTGTAATGATATAATGATAGGCTGAAGCCCTACAAGACTATGTAAAGATCATCAGTTTCACTCAGAACTTAAGGTGAAATTATCAGCTACAGCACAAATAACATAAAATCCCTTCAGCTCAATTACCTGTCTTAGTCTTGGAGATCAATGCCTCCAATTTGTAGTCTCTATTTAATTGTCTTGTGATGGATGTAACAATGGAGGATTCCTATCAAGATAATTTTGGAAAACATTTGAAAAGCTATATGTCAGGGTTTTCACATTAAATCCATTTAATCAATAAACATTAAATATTAGATAAATAATAAATAAAAATATTTTTCTCTTAAGGCACTGCAAAAGTGAAAGTTGTAATAACAAAACTTACCTGAATTGTTTTTCAGGAGCAGAAAAAAGTAAAGATTATGGTTTGTAGATTAAAAATTACAGAATGTGATAATTAAGAAAAAATTATTTTTTCGAGTTATGTTTGCTTTTCCAAATTAATAGGCTGATCACATCAATCTAGTCTTCAGCCCCATATTAATCTGCTCAAAATTATTTTTTTCATCTCATTATTATACTGGCATTTCAAATGTAACTGAGATGTCAAGACGGTTTGGTTGATAACCAATAACAGCAAAATGAGAAGAGAAGGTGATGCCTTAGAATTCTTAAGATTTGTAACATATAGATTTTTAATATAGCTGTATAGTTTCTAACACTTGGGAAAGGCAGTTAACTGAAACTCCTTTCTCACGCTTCATGTCAAGTTCCCAAAATTCCAGTTTTGTTTAATGTTCTCTTCAAGGAAAATTGTAGATATATTCTTAGAGAATATGTCTTGTCTGGGACATGTACCTAGAAAGCTATCATTGTAGACAAAGCAACCTAGAAGGCCTGGAGACCTTGGAGAAGCTCCAAAGAATGGGTGTGATGTGTGTGAGATGAGAATGGTGAAGATGAGGAAGAAAAGGGTTCTGAGACCTCTGACTCAATTTTGGGAAGGCATGCCGAGGGGCGGCCCTGTGGGAGGTTCTGAGGATTGGATAATTTACGGGTTGGACACACCATTAGATAGGATAATTAATTAGAGTTATTAAATTGTGAAAGCCCAATACTGTATTGTACACTATGGTACACTTTTGTGTGTAATGTGCCTAATTAAGGACTACTATCTACTTTATCTACATTAATACTCTCCAGAAAGTTCGTTCCTTCCATTTTAGGCAACACAGGCACAATCTCTTTTTAACCCAGTGGAAGCATCATATGATAAAAATACCATATTGGCATCCTGGAAATTGGAAATTCTCTTTCAGAGGCGACATGTGACTTTGAGTAAATCACTTAGTGGATTAGTCAGAGTAATACCAGTCCAATCTCACTCAACATATCAGTTTCTTATATGTATTCCCAATTATACCTGCTTGTGCTAGAGAGAAAACATGTTTTTGGTGTTAACTCCTCTGAGGCAACACAGTTAAATGGATGTAATCTGGAGTCTATTCTTGCTTATGAAGTTTTAGCGCAAGTCACAGGCTGCATTTCTAAGGACCCATCAGTGCTGCAAAGACAAAAGAAGAGTCTCTGACACTCTAGGTGAAGACACTAAATCTAGCAGGATAACTCAGGTCCCAGTACTATCCTAAAGTATTTGTGCTACTCTTTCTGCTGCACAAAATGGAAAAAGTAAAATTCACTGTGGAACCCTGGACTGAATTTGCAAGGGATTTGGGGAAAAACAAAGCTGATACTCTCATCTATCATATTTGTGTTGAGAATCATTGAGAAAACACAGAACTCTTGTTATGTTCAGAGTAAGGCTGTGTTGCAATTGTGGGTGAGCTGAGCTGTGTAGGCACAGCTTTTTCTGATGTCCATAGAAAAAAGATGCAACAGACACTCGAAGTTACCTCTAGTCTAGTGATACTGTTGCTGAGCTCCTGTTGGAAAGAGGTACTGAGCATTGCCCTAAAGCCACAATGGAGGAAGAGGGCTACATTCAAGAGCAGAGTGTTCATATTTGGCAGTGAAAGCATCTTGTCTGCAAGATTGACACACTACACAATTCCCGCACATGAGTCAAGGTGGGGAGGTCTTGTGGGGGTATAGGTGCTGGAGAATTTGGAGGCACAGTGGATCCTCTTCTCCATTATAAATAGAGACATGCTTTGTCCTGAAAGAATGAGACACGGGAAAGCTGACAAGATAATCATGACAGATTTTACTGTAATAAAGGATAGCCTGGCCAATCTTGTGTCTTGCTTCTTTCATACAGAAAGATAGTTCTCATATTAATTCTTGGGAGTCATTAGGTAATGTAAAGAGATCAGGTCCCTCAGGTAAAGGCAAAAATATGACTGAGATTGTGAACTTCAGAGCTACATCCACAGAGACAACCTTCCAGTTAGATGTCCTATCATCTGAAAGCCATTGGCTATGAGCCAAAATAGGCATAACTAAATTAAGGCTCACACATTAAGGCATTCCAACGTAGATAATATCATTACACCATGACAAAAACAGTTTTAGAGATTAGTCCCAAGCCCTTTGGGTAAAGACACAAGA